TCCTCATCATCGTTTTCGTCGACAGATATTTTTGCTCTTTTCGAATCTAATAAATCATCATTAATACTTATAATTAAAACTTTTATTATCATTATTATTATTTTTTTTTTCCTTACGATAAACGATTTTATTATCAAATATTGAAATGTAAATTAACCTGAAGCGTTTCCCTTTTTTTTTTTTTCTTTTGTAGAGACACATCATCACGATCGGGGGGGATGAAGTGTTAATCATTTTTATTACAGAAAAGAATTCCGGGAACGCAAAATAAAAAAAAAAAAAAAAAGGGGGAAGGAACCCAAAATTACAATTAAAGTAGAAACAGTAAAAATTAAAAAAAAAAAAAAAAGGAAAATTGATAATAAGGGCGCCGAATGAAAATTCCGACGCCTTTGAGTCGTCATCATTAAGCCCCCCCTCAATTGACCCCGCCCCCTCTTCTTTAATCAATTAACTCTTTATTAAATTCTAAGTAAAAATTTTGCAATTAATTTAAAAAAAAAAAAAAAACGCGGTTTAATAATAATAATAATTTGTTTTTAATGGTTCCATCCATTATCGATTTTATTTTATTTGTTGAAAAAAAAAATTGCTAGAAAGAAAGAAATTTTCCGGAGAAAAATATTTTCGAATTGATAAATTTTTAAAGTCAACCAAAATGTCGGAGATAATTTTCTTGAAAACGAGAGATTCTTTTCGTTAAAAAAAAAAAAAAAAAAAAGTTTAATAAAGTTGGATTCAAAATGGAATGTCCATTTTTTTTTTTTTTTTTTGAAATTTACTAAATGAAGAAAAATTCATTTATGTTTTACAAACGCGCACGCGCACGCACACACAATACGGTTTTTAAGAAATAAAAAAAAAAAAAAAAATTCATCTTCTATAATATATATATATAAAAAGACTTTTCTAGAAACAGTATAAATATATATTGTCTTCCTTAACCGAATTCCATAAATTCTTAACAATGTGAATTTAAACACGTGAAAATATTTAACCGAATTCTTTTTTAAAAACTTGTTACTTATATTATTATTATCATCATCAACAGTATTATCGATTTATATCCTTTTATTATTATTATTATTATTATTATTATTATTATTATTATTATTTCGTTACGTAAGTAAAAACATAAAAATTGTTTTTTAAATTACACGCGTTTACATTTACCGTTTGCCAAAAATAAAAAAAGAATAAACAAAACAAAAAAATGACGTCACATAATTAAATAATATCATCTTGAGTAACAAACAATATAATAATAATAATAATAAAACAGCTGACAGGAACAACAAATTGAAAAATATAAATAAAATACAACAGGAATAAAAAAAAAAAAAAAGACACTCAAATGTTTTTTATCCTCCATCTTTTTTTTTTTTTTTATGTTGTCAACGTAAAAAAAAGCGGTTTCACCGATGGTAGGAATGGCATATCAAAAAAAAAAAAGAAACCCCGAAGTCATTATAAATCGATTAAAAAGCAACCGAGGCCAAAAAACCATTTGATTCCTGTTAATATGGTGTAGGAACAATTACTTTGGCAATGTTTAAAATGGGGTGAGTCAACCCCAGGAATTGGAAATAGAATTGAGATTCTTTAAAAGTGAAGGGAGGAGTGGAGGGGTGGAGGAAGTTGGACTCAATGAAAAAGGGCAAATTGGTTTCATCTCAACAGCGGAGATTGAGAGGCAGAAGAAATTTCATTTCTAAGGATATCAGTCACAGCCTTAAGGCTCTTCTTCATCTTCATTTTTTTTTTCCACCATTTTTCATTTTCACTTTTATTTTCTATCTTTTTCTTCTTCTGCTTTTTTTTTTCTTTTTTAATTTTCTTTCATCGGTTGTTATTATTATTATTTCAATTTCAATTTCAATCGAGACCAATTTACACTTATCAAATATATATAATAATAATAATAATAATAATAAAAATTAAAATTAAAAAACATTTTTTTTTCTCATTTTTTTTTGCTGTTGTCATGTGTAGATGTAAAAGTTCAAAAGAGCAGAATAAAAAGAAAAATATTTTGTTTTGTATATAATTAAAAAAAAAAAAGAAAAATGAAAAAAATATTTTCACCACTTAACCACCTATTCAAAAAAATAAATAAGTTGAAAAAAAAAGAAAAAGGTTAACTTATGTAGTTACTGGAAAGAAAACTCCTTTATAAAAAGCTCAAAAGTGGGGCTTAAAGGCGTTTAATGATGTTGGGGATGAAAAAAAAAAACCCTTAAAGACTTTTTTTTATTTCAAATACATAAACGTTTTTTTTTTTATTTACCATATTTTTCCTATTCGTATCGTTTTATATAATATCATAACCGGTTTTTTACAATTTTCCATCTTTTTATAATTTAATAGCAGAAGTTAGTTTTAAAGCATTTAAAAAAAAAAAAAAATTTAACAGCTTTTCCACCTCTCCCCCCTCCTTTTTTTTTTAAATCGTTAGGAATCGTAATGATGATAATAATAATAATTTTTTTACTTTTTTGTTATTGGGTAACAAACAAACACACAACATATATTATTAATTTTAAAAATTGATACTTAATAGAAAAAAAAAAAACAAATTTTCCGAGGGAAGAATTTTTTCTTTTTTTTTTTGTCAAAGGAATCAAATATTAAAAGTTATTAGATTACAAAAGGGACAAAAAAAAAAAATTTTATCCAGTCGAAATGAAACGAAATTATTACTTTTTTTTCAAGAGAGAGAGAGAGAGAGAGAGAGAGAGAGAGAGAGAGAGAGAGAGAGAGATGAAAGTATCAAATATCAGAAGAAGAAATAAAAAGAAAACAATTTTTACTAAAAAAACTAAAAAACTTTTTAAATATTACTATCATTATTATTATCGTTTTAGTCATCGTCATAGTCATCGTAGTTTCCTTTGGAAAGTTTTAGTGTTAAGAAGAAAAAAGAATGAAAGGATCAAGAAGAAGAAGATGAAGGAGGAGTAGGAGGATAGAAAGGAATGAAAGGGATAAAAACCATCCATAAGTTTGTTTCAATTGTATGTTTTCCCATTATCCTTTTTTTTTTTCCTTTCCTTTTTCCTTTTTCTCTCGTTTTTTTTTTTTTTTAATTTTCTGTTTTGAATGTAATTATAATAACGAATGAATGAAAGGAGAAACAATTTGTCGTTGTTCACGCCGACGGCGCACAATGGAAAATATATCAAAAAGTGTCTGGAACGGACACTTTCCCTATCTGTTTAAATAATAATTTTTAATTTATATTGTCTCCATTATTTCTCTCGTTTACTCGAACTTATTCTTATTTCGTGGGAGAATAAAGATGAGGAGGGAGGAGAGGGAGGAAAAAGGGACGTAGGGGGTTTAGGGGGTTAGATTTTGGATCAGTTCTTGAAAACTTTTTTTTTTTTTCCTTCCTTCTTCTTCTCATTTTGTTCTTTTATATATTTATTTTTTTTCTTCTCTCCTTTTTTTTTTTTTTTTTTGTTTTATTTATTATTAATTTTTTTTTTTTTTCAAAAATTAATTTCATTTGTAGAGTTATTATGATAATAATGATTTTTTTTGGGTGGGGAGAAGGGTGAAGGGAAAGGGTAAAGTTTTGGTATGGTTTTTGATTACCACAATGATTTTTTTTTTTTAAGGGTAAGAGAAAGAAAGAAAAAAAAATGTCGGAAGATGAAATTTTTTTATTTTTTAAATTAAAAACTTGGAAAGTTAATGAACACTTTAAGAAGAAGAAGAAGCAGAAGAAGAAGAAGAGGAAGGAAAAGAAGAAGAAAAAAAGTTTTAAATGAGATTATATTTGTTAAACGTTTAAAGTTAACGGTCGGTTTTTTTTTTTTTATATTTTATTGCATTTTTTTTTTTTTTTTTTAGTTTTAATGTTTTTTTAATGGAAGAAGAAAAAAAAGAAAAAGTAAATGAAAATATTAATAATTACCGGGACTTTCTGAATCGGAATTACTATCTCTGCTATCTCTTTCTCTTTCCGTTTCCGATGGTGGAAGTCCATCATCCGGTATCGGCCTGTGTAATAAAGTTAATCCAATTTCTGGAGAAGAAGGAGATGTGCTCGGAATCGGTTGGGGTCCAACAGGATGACCCGAACTTGTTGAATATAATAAACCTAATTCTCGAGCTTCATTTTCTTCTTGAGCTTGTTGCCGACGCAATGCAACTTGAGCTGCCATAACTCTTTGTCTTTCTGCTATTAATGTACATTTGGCACAAACACAGTCTCGCCATCGACAATATCTTTTATGACCCTAATAATAAAAAAAAAAATTCAGTTTAATTTTTCCTCTCGTTTTACTCATTACGTAAAAATCTTTTTTGTTAACCTCCCCCTCCTTCTTCCCCCTAAAAATTTTTTTATTTTATTAATGAAGAAAATTTTAAACGTGAGAAAACATAAAATTAAAATACCAAAAAAAAAAAAAATTATTCACGGCCGACATTTTTTTTTCATTGTAAATTTAAAATTTCAATATCGATAATAATAATAATAAATGAATAAATAAATAATTTAAAAAAAAAAAAAATATAAGAAAAAACATACTTTTAAAGCAGAAACAACTCCATGATTTCTACATCTGGCACATTTTGGAGTTCTCTGATATCTTTCGGATGCTCTTAAAAAAAATGCCGGCGGTATCGCACCTAATACTGAATGTTGTGTCATTAATGTTGACATGTCTATTCCACTCGGTAAACTAGACATTTCAAACCGAAATCGTCATCATTATTATCATTAAACATTCAATAATTATCCATAATTTTTCCAAAAAAAAAAAAAAAAAAAAAAAAGTTCCAAAAAAAAAAAAAAATTTTTTTTTTAACCACTAAAAACTTCCAACTAATAAAAAAAAAATTTTTTTTTTTTTTTTTTTACAAAAAAAAAAAAAATCCCGAAATTTTTATTTAAAAATTAAAACGCACGCACACACACACACTCGAACCCGAACACACACGGGAAGAGAGAGAGAGAGAGAAAACCTTCACGATCGCGAACACAAAATGAAAATGATAAAATATTTTAAATATAAACTTATCGGGGGTGTTTTTGGGGATGAAGCAATCACATTTATGTGATTTGATGTAAATAAGTATAAAAGGGATTTTGAAACGCAATTGTTTGCTAGCCGTTTTTTTTTTTTTTTTTTTTTTTTTCTATTTTAATTTACTTTACTTATTTTCTTTTTCTCTTTTTTATTTTCTTTCTTTCTTTTTTTTTTTTTATTTTACTTACTGTATATTCAGTTGGCTGGAGTTTAACATTTTAAACCAATCGAAACTGGAGATGAGAAAGCGCATGTGACGTCATAATTTAAATGCTCCTCCTTGTGTTATTTTGTAACTCACTTTGTTATTTTCCTATGCTCTGGAGAAATTATAATCACATAAAATGAACTTTTTTTCTGTTTTTCAATAAGTGTTTGCTTTTAAATATATATTATTATTATTATTATTTTCAATAAGTTGAAAAAATATATATTTAAAAAAAAAAAAAATTAATAAATAAAAATAATTGCTTAGGTATAAAAATTTACAATAGAAATTATATTGAATTAATAAATTTATGTTTTTTTTTGCAGTGAAGTTTTTGTTTTTTTTTTTAAATAAATAAATAAATAAACTAATTTTAATAAAAAATTATTAAAATGATGTTATTTATTTTAATTATGTTAATCAATGAAAAAATATTCTCAAAACTAAATAATAACTATTTAGTCTTGACAATTGTTTATTTTTTAAAAAAATAATTAAAAATATATTTTAATTAATTTTATTTATTAATGGAGGATTTGTTTTAAAAAAAAAAATAGAATTATGTATCAAAATTTTGAAAATGAATTAAAATTTAAATAAAATTTTTTTTTCAATTAATTAATTTTTTTAATAAAAATATTAAATTGAAAAAGAAAAATGAAGAAAGAATTTTCTTTTTGAATTTTTTCATAACTTGTCAATTAATATTTTTTCAACTTTAATAAACTAATGTAAAAATAATAATAATAATAATTAATAAATAAATATGCTTGTATGTGTAAATGTACATTCTCAAATAAAAAAAAAAAAAAGAATTGTTTTTAATTTTTTTTTTTTTTTTTATAAATAACTTGGTTAAATTATAAATCATGTCAAATACATTTGAAATTCTCATAGATTCTGAGAAAAGAAAAGAAAAGCAAGTTCAACCCTTTGGAATAACGGAAAATCCCTTAAAAACATTTTATGTTTAACATTCGAAATGACATAAATTTTCATATGAGTTAATAATATGCTTTTTCAGCATATTTTGAATGACATGGAAAAACAGAATCTGTGTGTGTGTGTGTGTGTGTGTGTGTTTTATAAAATTGGTAAGGCCGTTGGTCAAGTGTTGTCACTACCAGATTTCCTATGATGCAGATTTATTTTATTCAAATACAATAATCATGCAAATTTCATACAAATATATATATATATATATATATTTATATATATGATTTTCTTTTTAAAAAAATTGAATATTTTATTTTTTTTATGTTTTATAAAAATTTAAAAGTCAATTTTTTTTTATTTTTTTTTTGCATAGCTCAAATTATTTTATTTTACCTTACACAAAATAATAAACAATATTTTACATTGGTTTTGACAATTAAAATATCAATAAATCAAAGTTCAATATTTTTAAACAAAAAAAAAAAAAAAAATTAGCAAGTTGTAATTAGGTTTTTTTTAAAATGTTTATAATTGACATAATTAATTATTTAAATGTTACAATAAGAGTTAATATCCACGTTTTATCTTAATTTATTAAAATCAATGTTTCTAAATTGTTATAAATAAAAAAAAAAATTAAAAATTTAAGAATGAAATTTTTTACATAAGGTTGAAAGCAATTGTTATGGGATAAAATTTTTTTTTTTTTTTTAAACTAAAATTTGATAATTAATAATTGGATAAAATTTTTTATATTTTTTATTATTTTTATTTATTTGAGAATGATTTATGATTAGTTTTTAAATATTTTTACTGTTTTTTTGTATTATTTTAATAATTTTCAAGTTTTTACATACCTTAATGAGGACGTACGTTAGTGAGTGATAAAATAATCAAAACAGCGACATCTATGAAAAGTTTTTAAAACTTTTCAGTTCTGCCAACTTTTAACCGCTTCATTTATCATGTCGCCATATTTATATTTTCAAATGCCAGTGAATAGTTAATTTTAAGTTATTTACAATTTTTTTTTAAACACTGGTTTAAATTTTATTTTTCTAATATTAAATTTAAATATTAAGCTCTTTTTTTTATTAAACGTTATTGTGATTATTCCTTTTTTTTAAATAATTAATTGATATTTATCAAAGTAATTTTACATAAAAAAGGTATACAACATTGGTTTGTTTAACTATGGCAAGTAAAGAAGTAGTTAAAAGCAAAAGTCATGGTAGTTCAGCTTTAGTAGTTTCTGATCAAGAACAAGATTTGGCTCAATCAGCTTTATCAGGTACCTTACTTGAATTGTTAATGTAAATACAAATTTATATGCATATGAAAATAATTATATGTGACAATGTAAAATATAATTATAATTTTTAGATTTTACAAAAGGCAATTATTCAGCTTGCTTAACAAGCTTGGCAAAACTAGAAGCAACTTGGACTCATGATTCTAAAGTAGCTCACAATAAAGCTGTTGCAGAATATTATAAATCTAGTTTAAAAAAAACCGATCAATTTAGAAAAAATTTAGCAAACTTAAGATCTCAACCTATATGGAATGGTGACGATGTTGTTAGACTTGATGATGTAGAGCAGTGTTTTTTATATTATAATCATGCTGTGTTATTATTTCACCTTAAACAATACAATCTTGCTTTAAAAGTAATAAAAGAAGTTTTCACATTTATCGAACCAATGGGTATGTGTTATTGATTAGAAAAAAACATATTTTTATTTTTTATGCAACTAATGTTATTCTATTTCTTTAGAGGAAAGTTTAGCTCACAAAGTGTGTTTACTGCTAGTAGAATTATTATTATGTATGAGGCAAGTTGATACTGCTTTAGATTATATCAGTTACATTACTAGTCAATTTGCATCAACTAAAAATATTCAGGTGCTTGAGAAGGAACCTGCCGAGAAAAAACCTATAGTTTTCGATGCAGCAACTGATGCTTTTAGGCTAAAGTTATTACAATGTCAAACTAGGTGTTATCTAATGAATAAATGTTTAAAAGGAAGTAAAAAGGAACTGAAAACTATAATGACAACAGGTGGCAATGTAAGTTTTTTAAGCTACTATCACTCAAATTTTTAATATTATTGTAAATTTGAATTTTTTAAAAGTATCACCCGAATTTGAATTACCTTACAAATTAAAGTCATTTAATTCTTTTTTGTTCCAGAATGTAGCTTCAGTATTTTTAAAGGCTAATCTAGAGTATTTAAAAAAAAATTATACGAAATCCATTAAGGTATTAAATTCAATATTAAATCACACTTTACCCAATTTTAAGGACACTGGGGAATCGGTTAACATATTGTATTACAACAATATGGCTTGTATTCATCATTATTTAAGAAAGCCAAACTTAGCTTGTTTTTATTTGCAAAAAGCCATTAAAGAAAATGAAGAAGCTATAAAAAGTTTCCCTAAACCTGAAATCCCAGAGGAATTATCAAATAGGCCTTTATATACTCTTAGTTCTAATAAATTAACTGAATTAATGTATAATTTAGGAGTAGCTTTGTTGTACGCTGGGAAACCTTCTCAAGCTTTTGATTGTTTAACAGAGGCTGTTCAAGTTTATCATATGAACCCTAGACTGTGGCTTAGAATGGCTGAATGCTGCATAATGGCACATAAATCTGTAAGTAGTATGACAAATTATTTAGTAAATATTAATATGTAAATTCTTATGTTTTTTAAATGTAAATACGAGTGTTATTATTATTATTATTTTTTTTTTTTTTTTAGAATAATGAAGAAGATTTTAATATTCACGTGAAAAAAAATGATTTAGTTCAAAATGTAATTGGAAGCGGTCAGCATAGGAAATTAGTTATCGCCAATAAATTATCTAAAGATATCCATTACACAAATGAGTATCAATCGTACGCCATACCAGCTCCAACTTTAGAATTTGCTTTTTTGTGTGTTAGAAATGCTTTGCATTTATTGCCAACTAATGAAAAAGGAGAAATTCACAGCGGTCGAACAACACCCATTCAAGAGCCTACAGCAGCAAGTTTAGAAAAGTATGTATTGAAAATTTAAAATATTATTTTAATCAAATTAAACAAATGTCTGACATATTTTGTTGCAATTGGTTTTTTTAATTTAAAAAAAATAATAATTTAATTATTATTATCATTTTTTTTTTTTTTTTTTTGAAGTCTTCCGAACAAAAAGTGCTTTTTATGGAGCGCCTTCAAACCCCATTGGTGAAACAGAAGTGAAAAATTTAAGATGTTCAGTACTTGCGGCGGCTGCTTATGTAACTCTTTGTTTAGGTGATCATATAATAGCTTTAGATTATGCCCAAGAACTTTTACAACAAAAACCATTATCTGGAGTTCACAAAATGTTAGGTCACTTATATGCAGCTGAAGCCTGTATATTTATCGATAAAATATCAGAAGCTCTGGAGCATTTAAATCCGGAATTAATAACCGATTTGAGTGTTGGTCTGCCTGTACCTGTTGAGGATTGCGTAGAAGAAAGTTCAAAACCATTGAAAGGTTAGTAAAAATTTTTTTTATCGTACATTAAATAGTTACTTGGATTATAATAAAACTTTCATTTATTTATTGCATTAAATTTTCTTTTTTTTTAGAGTGGTATCCAAATAATTTATTGACTGCCAAAGCTTTAATGCAGTATCATTTGGCTGTGGCTTTTGCAATTAGAGGTCAATATGAAAAATCAGGAGAAACGTTAAAGCATGTCTGGATGTTGAAAGGAAACTGTGACATTCCCATACAAGTTATTATGCTAGCATTATACATTGAATTGCAACTAGGTATATAATTATATACATAATTATAATTTATCTAATTTGTATTATTTTAATTTCAATTTATTTTATTTATTTTTTTCAGGTCATGCTGATAATTCTAGGACTATCATTAAACAGCATTGTCCTCATTTGAGGTAAATCGGCCTGTACTACTCAAAATGTATATAAAAATGGTATGTAAGATATTAAGACAAACAAAAAAAAAAAAAAAATTTTCAATTAAAAATAAATAAAAATGATTAGTTTTATGATTTTATTTATTTATATTTAAAACCCTACTAAAATTATTATTATTTTCTTGCATACTTATGTGTATATATAGTAATTTGCATTAAATTATTTTCAGGTTTTAAACATAAAAAAAGTTTCAGTGATTGTGTTTTAACAATTATTCGAATTCAAAGGAAACTGGATAAAACAGTTTTAAAAAAAAAAAAAAAATTAGCAATGTAATTTAAAATTGTTTTTTTTTTTTATTAAATGTTAAAATAAATATTGCCATTATCGTCTTATAAAATTTGATAAAAACAAATTTGTTTAAGATTTTTTAATATATATATATATTTAAATTTGGCAATTATTATAATAAAAAATTTTTAAATCAGTATCAGTAATTTGCATCATAATAAAATTCTTTCAATTAATTAATTACTTCTGTCTTTTTTAAAACTAATATTTAATATAAATTAATATTTTAAATCATCCTTTAAATTTATTTATAAAACAAAAATTTTTTAAATTTTACTATTACTTTTTAAAATATTTAATCGAAAATATGCATAGATAATATTTTTCGTACTCTATGGTCACGTCCGCTGACACGTCAAGTTACGGCAATGTTGACGCTGTTTTGGCCGTAAATAAACTTAATTTGCTTATGTATAAAATTTAAAACTGTAAAAAAAAAAAATGAGCGCGATTAAGTGCTATTTAAAATGTGTCGATAATACTCATGAACCATTCTTATTAGAAGATGAGAAAGAAATGATTTTTGGAAGAGGTCCAGATACTAAAATAAAAGATTCTCGTTGCTCCAGAAATCAAAGTAGGTGACAGTTGTTTACATTTTGAATCATTCAAATTCTTTTTTAATCAATATTACATAATTTAAAATAATTTTTGGATCGACATTCATATAATTACAATATTAGATAATTAAGATTGACATAATATATTAGTAGAGTTTACTATAACTATTCGTTGCGAAATTTTTTTTATGGAAGTACTTGTTTAAAAAGTTTTATTTTTAAAATAAAATAATAATGCGCGTTTATAAATCTGACTGATTAAAAAGAAATTTTTTTTAAAATCACAATAAATTACAATTAAAAATAATTTTATGCTATTGTATTTCCTTTAGTTTACATGTAGCAAAACGTTTATTTTTAGTTAAAGTAAAGGCATCATACAGTAAAAGAACAGTTAAAGTCACACAACTTGGAAGAAATACATGTGGATTAAATGGAATGGCTCTTAAAAAAAATACAACAGTAACAGCCAAACATGGAGATAGAATTGAAATTCTTTTAGGTTTATTTGTACATACAATTGAATTTGAGTCAGACGAACAAAATAAACAAGAGAGTCATAAAAATATTGATGTAGCTTCAAGTAGAAAAAATAGTAACACAGAGGAAGAATGTGAAGAAATAAGAGAAATTTCAGACGAAGACAATGGACCAGTTGCTAAAAAAATTAAATTAAATTCTAGTGCGCCTTGGGAATCAGTTGATGAGGGTAAATTATTAATTTACACTCCTGAAGGAGTGACTTCTTCTAGTTTGATTGCAGCATATGATTTAGATAATACAATTATATGTACTTCAAGTGGTAAAACTTTTCCAAAAAATAAAAATGATTGGAAAATAATGTTTGAAGAAGTTTTAAACAAATTAAGAGAATTGCATGCGGAATCTTATAAAATCCTCGTTTTTACAAATCAAGCAGGATTATCTTCAGGAAAACAAAGTGTTAGTGATTTCAAAAGTAAAATTGAATGCATTGTAAAAAAATTTAATTTGCCCATGCAAGTATTTGTAGCGACAGGACATTCGATTTATAGAAAACCTGCTATAGGCATGTGGGAAGCTGCAATGGAAAGAAACGATAACATAAAAATTGATATGGCCAAAAGTTTTTATTGTGGGGATGCTGCAGGAAGAGAAGAAAATTATTGGAAAAAAAAAGATTTCTCTTGTTCCGATATATTATTCGCCACAAACTTAGAATTAAATTTTTTAACTCCAGAGCATCACTTTTTAAATAAGAAAATGCAACCTTTCAAAATTAAGGTTTTCGATCCCAAAGCTATACCATGTGATGTTCCTTTGTGCGAACCCTCTTGGGGTCAAGTAATTTTAAATAAACTTGAAGTTATTATATTAGTCGGTTATCCAGGAGCTGGAAAATCACATTTTGTTAAAACTCATTTAACGCCCGCGGGTTACGTATCGGTCAATAGAGATTTATTGAAAAGATGGAGCAAGTGTGCGAGTGAAATGACAAAAGCTCTAGATCAAAAGCAAAGGGTTGTTATTGACAGTACTAATCCAGATATAGAATCTAGAAAGAGGTACATTGATATTGCTAAAAATTACACAAATGTAGTAAGATGTTTTATAATGAATACCAGTTTGCAACATGCAAAGCATAACAACAAGGTGAGTAATATTAATTTACAAAAAAAAAAAATTAAATTAAATTAAATTACAAAATCTAAAAACGAGATTTTTATTTTTTTTAAAGGTCAAATTTTCTCGAGTAAATGTTATATTTTCTTTTCATAATAATAAATCTTTTTTCAGTTTCGTCTGCTGACAGATCCGGCACAAGCCGTAACTGACGTAGTCATACATACTTATGCGTCTAAATACCAAGAACCAACTTATGCAGAAGGATTTTCTGAAATATTAAAAATAAATTTCTGGCCAACTTTTAAAAATCCAGACAAAGAAAAATTGTATAAATTATTTTTGCTCGAAAAATAAGTAAGTTTGGTTTTTATTTTTATTTTCAAAGCAATTAAACAAACCAAATACGATCAAATGCAGTTTACGTGTTTAATATTATTATTATTATTATTATTATTATTATTATTATTATTATTATTATTATTAATGTTAACTAATTCGTATCATGGCCGTTTTATTACAATAGTTACGACCTTTTCGCCATTTAATTATTGCGATAAAATTAATGAAAGGATCGTTTGTTGTCTACTGCCACTGTAAAATATCGGAAAATAATTTTTTTTTTTTTTTTTAATTATTTAGTTTGATTCGTAATTAGAATTTGATTAAATTCGTTTAGACTTTGCAAAACTTTAGTTTTCAACGGTTGGTACTCCATTTCCGTTTTTTTCGCATCTATGAATTCTTTAACGGAATTATTATTTTGTTCCAGCAGTTGTAATTTTTTTTCAAGATTGTTCAAATGAACGTAAGTTTCGTTTTCATTTAATTCTTTCGTCATTTGTTCGTTTTGTTTTTTCAAATCCATTTTGATTTTGCTCAGAGACGTTTTGCTCTTGTTCAAATCATCTTTTTCCCGTAATAAATTTTCCCTTTTTTCCTTTGCTTTGTTCCTTAAATCGTCCAAATCGGAAAACGTGTTCATTTCTTCCGCCATTTTTTTCATTTTTTCACGGAGGCTAACCGTTTCCTCCTGGATTTTCTCTTCCAAATTTTCAATTTTTTTCATGTTGTTGGTTAATTTTTCTCTTTTGATATTTAATTCTTCGACGGTTAATTTAGATTTTCTCAATTCTTCTTCTTTGAGCGTTAGATTTTCTTTCATGAGGTAAAATTCATCGCGACTGTAAAAAAAAAAAAAAAAATTTGCAAACATAATTTGTTTGGTTGTTGTTGCAACTGAAAACATTTTTTACCTTGGCAATTTTATGACTCCAGTTAAATTTTTACTCATTCGTTCCAGCGTTTCAACAATTTTATTTTCTAAATCTTGTATTTTATCATTTTCTTCTTTTTCCGAGTCTTGAAAAGTTGATAAAAATTGTTCCATCGTTTCTTCCCGTTTTTTTAACTCTTTAAATTTTTTATGTCTGTCCGTTTGACTTTTTTCCAAATCCCGAAAATGTTTTTTTTTTTTTTTTTTTTTTTTTTTTTGGGGTTTCTTTTAACCTTTTATCAGTTTTAAAAAAAAAAAAAAAAAAGAAAAATTTTTTGTTTTTCCTTCATACCTGTTCGGTCATTTCCAATTCATCTTTTTTTTTTTTTATTTCTTCATTTATGTGATTTATTTGTCTGTCAATGGCGGCCATTTCCGCATTATCTTCTTTAACTTTTTGCAATAATTTTTCCCTTTCCTGTGCCGGTGTTGACCTCGTTTTTTCCTCTTCCAACAATATTGCTTTTCTATCTTCTCTCTCTCTCAATTTATAATATAATCTCACAGTTTCTTGTTTAATCTAAATGATTAAAAGGGAAGGGAATCAAAATTATTACTTGAATTTTATTTATTTGATAAAGGTTTCATAAAAAAGAGGGAGGAAAATACCTGGGAACCTGAAATTCTATCTTCCAAATCTAATTTTTGCCTCGTCAACATTTCAAGTTCTTGCTGGTCTTCATCAATTTCTTTTTGAAGATTTTCATTTGTCACTTTTAATTCTTGGTATTTTTTCCTTTCGTTTTCATTCATTTCTTCAATGAGTTTAAAGGTCACATTTTTTTCCTGTAAAATAATATTATTATTATTATTGTTAATCCTTTTTTTTCGGATGTTGATGTTGTGTGTAGATGTACTAATTTACGAAAGATTTTAAAAAAAAAAAAATAGAATTTTTTTTTGACATTTGTTTCAAATTGATGAGAATCAGATTCAAAATTTAAACAAAAAGTAATATTAATAATAATAATAATAATAATACAGCAACACGTGTTTTAACTCAACACATACATTTTGTACATCATCTTCGAGTTGTTGAATGAGATTTTCTTTCATTCGGTTTTGTTCAAAGAGTTCATTTAAATTTTCTGTTAGCCTTTCATTTTCATTTTTTAATTCTTCCGTTTCCGCATCTATTTGCGCTTTGTCCGTGTTCGTATTGACTTTATCAATAACCAAATTATAGTCTGCTAATTGACCTTGCAATCCCGTTAATTCCGATGCAATTTCCCTGACTCTTTTCTCGTAGACTTGCGAAGTCGCTTGCTGTTGAGTTTCCAATTCGATCTCTTCATTTAAACGATTCATTTCCATTTGTATGTCTTTCATTTTCATTCTCAACAATCCTTCGTAGTAACGCTTGTCTTTGACTTGTCTGATTTGAGGTCCCCTACTTGACGTCGACATTCGCAAACCTGCAACTCCCTGCTGTGTGATCGGCCTGTCCAAAACGTTGATCTGAAATAATTTATATTTTTGTATTTTCCAATTCATTCGTGAATTTTTTTTTCTTATTTTCCTCAAATGTAATAATTACGTTAGACATTCCTAAAACTGATTGTGTGGTCCTCGGAGGCTGCTGCATCATACCCGTCGACATTCTCGATGCTGTTTTATTTGTAAAACTTTGCGTTGACGGAGGTCTTCCCGTTTGCATTCTATCCGCATAAAAATCTTACTTGAAAGGAAATGTTAATAATAATAATAATAATTAGATCTAATTTTACATTCAACATATTCATCATATCAATTTTTAATTAAATAATAATAATTATTATTTCCTTTATATTTAAAAGTGTGAATAAGAAATTGTTTTTTTTTTTTGTTGTATTTTTCAGATTTTTTCGCCATTGAAGGAAAAATGGTTTAGAAAATTTTTTTTTTTTTTTAAAAAAAACTAATTATCGAGAGGACGATTTAAAAACCCCACCAGATATTTTACCACGTTTACATAAATTATTTTCATCAAAGTAGTCAATAAAAAAAAAAAAAAAATGTGGGTATGTAAATATAGAAGAAAAATTCAAATAAGTTTAGTTTTTTTTTTTTTTTTTTTAACTTTTTCTTCTTTTTCTTTTTTTTTTTTTTTGTTAAGATTTTAATTTAAGTTTTTTTTTAAAAAAAAAAAAAATATATAAATATAGTAAAATTGTTGAAAAAGTTATTTTATAATTATAAAAGAGAAAATTAAATAAGAGAAAGATTTTTTTTTTCTCCCCCCCCCCTAAATAATTAAAATGATCGATTGTAAATTTTTAAATAAGAATTTTATTCTTTTTTTTTTTTTTCCAATTATAGTTTTTGTTTTAGAAACAACAAATAAATAAATTTATATATAAATATAAATATATTTTAATTAAAGTAAAAAAAAAATTGAATGTTTGAAGTATTAAAAATAATAATAATAATAATAAAAATTTTAAAAAAAAATTATTTTTGTTGACATAGTTTATTATAAATAAATGAATTGAATGAATGAATTGTTTTAATTTGCTTTTTATATTGTATAATTTAATAAAAGCGAAAAAATAAATGTTTATGATCTTATATTATTAAAATATTTATATATGTATATTTTTTTTTAAAATCAAATTATGAGAAATTGTTTAAAAACCTAAAACCAAAAATTTTTTTTTTTTTTTTAATAAATTAGGTTTTGAGTTTAACATTACAATTTTTATTTTTAAATGCACTTAATTAAAGAGTTTTTATTGTTTTTAATTAAACACACACACACAAAAATAATAACACAAATGTTTTTAAAATGCAGTATTATTTTATTTTATTTTTAAATTTAAATGATTTTTCTTTTTTTGTTTTTATTCAACGATTTTATTTGAAAAAAGAAAAAGAACAAACTGAAATGTTTTTTTTTTCTTTTACCTTTTGAGATATATTTTAAATAATACTTCTTCTTTCGATTTATTTAATTAATTAATAAAAGAATATTTTTTATATATATAAATTCATTCATATAAAGTTTCTAATATCTGAATATTATTTTGTTTGTATTTAAAATTTCTGGTTTCTGTGGAAACGATTCAATGGCATGAACAAAAAAAAAAAAATGTTGTATGCTTTTTTATGTAAGAAAAATAATTCACAAACGATTCGTGATATAAAATAAAAATAAATAAATAAATAATATTTTTTATTAGATTTTTATTTAATTTTTTTTTTTTTTTTGGTTAATAAAAATCATTTTCCATTGGGTTTTGGGCATTTTTGAGGGGGGAAGAAAGTAGGGAGGTAGGGAGAGAGGGAAGTAATTTAATTTTTTATTAAGGAAAAAATTATTATTATTATAGTAAAAAGGTTATGATAAAATAAAATAAAAAAATTTTTATTAAATAATGACGATTATGTTTATAAAAAGTGTTACGTAATAAATGCAACAGATGGCATTCGTATCGTTCAACGTAAACTCGTTTGTTAATTTACTAAATTTGAGACGTCTTCGTAACAACAGTTCTCGTAACAAGCTTGAAGTGTTTGTTGGTGATACTTTTAAGTTATTTGTGTTTTTTTATGGATTAATTCCGTTTTTTTTGTGTGTGTGTGTGTTTGTGTGTTTAGCAGCCGCATATTAAATAAATGCCACAGTATAAAAAAAATTAATTATGGTTAATTTTATTTGGATTCCAAGATAACAAAAAAAATTTTACTTTCAAAGGTGTAAAGTTGAGTTGTTTTATTGTGAATTTTTTTCTCATCAAAACCAACGGTTTTTTTTCCTTTTTCTCTCTTAAAAGTGTTTTTTTATCTGTTTGGTGATCTTTCAAATTATTATTTTTTTTAAAAGTTTCTTTCCTTTATTTTAATATTTTTTTGTGTGTTAAATTATATATATATATATATATTAAATTACATAATGGATGATGAAGATTCTGGTCTTGGTACAAAATCTCCAATCAAGAGGTTAGGATCGACAAGAAAACTTTTATTTTTTAACAGTAAGTTAAACGTTTATTTTTACTTTGTGTTAAAATTGTGAAGGACGTCAAGCGTCACTTGAGGGAAAAAAAAAAAAAAAAAAAAAATGTACCCTGTTTGTATTCTATAGACATGTGTTTCCCATCTTTACATGCATTCAACTTTTATTTATTTCATTTTCATTTTTAATTTATTAAAAGCTTCTTTTTTTTTTCTTCGTTTTAATTATAATATCTATTTCTTTTCATTTTATTTTAATTTAAAACATAGTCTCTGACCTTATTCATTAATTTTGCAATTAAACGATGTCTTTTGCCAGTTTTAAAATTTAAAAAAAAAAAAAATTTTGTTTTTTATTTGATTTTTACAATGAGTTTGATTATCTAACTCAAAAAAATATTTAATTATTAAAAGTTTTTTGTTTTAAATTGTTTAAAAGTGTACAAAATTTTTTTTCATATAGAAAGTAATTTTATTTTAAATCGAAAGTAAAACTTTTACCAGGTAATGAAATTTGTTTTTAATTATTTAAAATTATTCGATGATTTTAATTATTTCATTTAATTTAATTTATTGATGTATATATATTGGTGTGGAGAATTTGAAGAAAGTCTTTAAGTCTGTAGATTAACAAAGTAATAATTATTTAAACATTTTATTTTATAACCAATGATACATTTGTAAGTAATCGTGAATTCTCATATCGTTTGGAGAATATTTTCAAAAATTGAAGTTGCATACTATATGTATCGTTTAAAATTTGGTTTGTGTCGAAAGTTTCCAAGTTTTGCATTTTATTTATTTATTTATTTTGATTTTTATTTTCTTTTATTCACTTTTAAACACTTTTTTGTCTGTTACAATTCAAATAACTTTTTGTTAATTAAATACAAATTTATTTTAAAATATACTCCTGCTGCTGCTGCATTAATAACAGTTTGTTTACCGATAAAATATCATATCAGGTTTTTTTTTTTTTTTTTTTATTATGAAAGAATAAATTTCAATTCTTTTAAGTATATAATTTAAATTTTCTTTTAAAAAGAAATTTATCAATAATATCAAATTAAATTAAAATTTAATTTTGTTTAATAAATTGATTTTGGTTATTGTATGTTATTAATCGCATATTTTTTGTCTATTAATAACCATCTGTTAGATGATAAAAAACAAATTAACAAACACATTTAATTCTCCATAGCATAACAATATCAATAATTATTTATCTATCCATAAATTAATTTACCAATCAATTATTTAATTATTAAATGATGGAAAAAAAAACGTAAAATATAAATTTTTAAATTGTTATAAGGAAGAATAAGGTGGGGAGTAGGTGGAGGGGGAGAGGGGCAGGCAACAACAAAAAAAATTTATCAAAATCTTTAATATGGTCAACAACGACAAAAAAATAAAAAATAAAAACGAGAAACCGGTTTTTAGGGCGTTAAAGAATGAAATTCGCTCTTTGTTACCTTTATATATTTATATATTGTAAAATAATCATTAAGTAAATAAATAAATTATTAATATGTTTAAAAATCGACAATAAAAAATCTTATTATGGTGGAAGGGGGAGGGGAGGGTGGGGGGAATATTTAGGGTTTTATTGTAATATGTAATCCATTATTAAACGGTGAGTAATTTTTCTGTTACCGTGTCTAATCAGTAGTAGTACACGTTAAACCTGATAACTTTTTTTTTACGGCTGAAAAACCCAACAGAATAATATTTATAACAATTTTAGTTTAAAATTGAATTTTACACACGTGTATATGTTTAATGAAGACTTAAGTAAATGTTATGTCGGTTGTAAAAAATTTATAATTAATATTTATTTGTTTAATAAGGATTTTGGTTATTAAAAATTTGTTTTTACTCTTGTTCGGGGTTTTTTTTTTCGATAGGAGGTTATTTTTAACAAAACCGCACTTAATTATATATTTTTTTAAACGTAAAAGGTGTTCATACCAACCGGTTTCTTTTATTTATTTATTTATTTTTATTAAGAGCTTATTATATGTATATATATTTCCTACCGGTTTTTTTTTTCCAATGGTATGGTATTGTTGTTAAAAGTTTTACATTTGTTTTAATAAAATTCTATGGAAGTCTAATGTAAAATTAAAATTTAACATTTCATTTCGTATTTTTTCACATTTTGTTTTTTAAGAAAAAAAAAAAGAAAAGTTTTGTCTTGTTTTTGTTTAAGAATCATCGAACTTGCGTGGGAAGAGAGAGAGAGAGAGATTTTTTGTAAAGAGGTTTTTTTTTTTTAAGTAGTTTTTTTTTTTTTTAAAAAAAACGTTTTACACTTTGTAGTTATGACAACTTTATGTTTCCCCTTCGCTTTAAGAAAAAAAAAATTAAGTTTAATATCAAAGAATAATAATAATACTTGATTTTTTTTTCTATTGGTTTTAAGTTTAAATTTAAAAACGTTAAATTACGCATTTATAAATGAATAAAAAATAATAATAATAATAATTGAATTCAGGTTTAAATATATACTTTATTTAATGGGTCACGTTAAAACAATTTTTATTATTATTATTAAACAAATAATATTAGTTTCCGTGCATGAAAAAAAAAAATAATAATAATAATAACAATAAGGTTATAATCGTTTGTTGTTTGTTTGTGTTGTTTCGTATGTAAATACAATGTATTATTATTATTATTAAATGCGCGTAACGTTCGCAGACGATCTTACATACGACTTAC